AATTTAGATGGATGGATGGATGAAATTGTATCAGATTGAAAGTGGATTTTTTTTTATACTCAACATCCTATGGCAGGAGAAAATTCATAACATGTTCCTGTCTTTTTTTGTATTACAGAATGAAATAAAGTTTTTGTTGTTCCAAAACGTTTAGTTTGTTTTTTATTTTCTCTCTCATCATCATTATTATTATTGCATCATACAAGTTTGTATTAATCATTCATTCAAATAAATCGATTCGAAATTTGATTTTTGTTGAACACAAACCTCAAAAAATATTCTCAATTTCTTTAGATATTTTATCATTTAAAAATCTTGAAATTTACACTTTTCATTGATGTTTTTGTCGCTGTCTCATGATGATACCATTTGATTTTGGATCGAATTTTCTGAATTCCAGAATCCATTTTGCTTCGGTTTTTCTTTTTTCTCGGTATAGGGGGTTCCCCTTTTCCAATTTTCCAAACCAAATCCTAAACAAACATATACTTAAAAGATTCAATCACACAAGGGATCAACATTATTTTTATTTTCATGGATCGATATATTTGTGATTATTATCAAAACCAATAGAATAGAACAACAAAAAAAAAATGGAGTGAAAATGAAACCAGAAAATTTACACCAAACCGATGACAATAACAATCCATTTTTGTTGTTGTTGTTATTGTTGTTGTTGGTTTTTTCCATTTATTTTTTTTTCAAAGAAAAGAATTTTGAATTTTTTCCAATTTTCTGTTGTTGTTGTTGTTGTTGTTGCAAAACTGATGTTTTATCTGTTTGTCATCCAGAAACCAAAAAGAATATTACGGATTCATACATACATACTGTAGACACAGTCGGTGGCCATTTGTCTGGTGTGGATTTCATTTCAAAGAAATATTCCCGGAATAGTTTTTTTTCGGATATGAATGAAAAAAAAAAAGATTTTCGTTTTCGTTTTTCTTCTTCTTCTTCTTTTGGCATTAATATAAGAAAATAACAACAATGAACAACCATTTATATCCACCAGTGGTTTATATGATGATCATCAGAATTTTTTTTCGTGTCTTCAGCTATCTATATGGTTTTTAGACTAAAAATTTCAATGTGAATGTTCCAGTAACTGGGCAAAAAACCCTATATCTTTGGTAGGGATTTTTATGACGATGTTGGTAATCAACAACAACAAAAAATAAAATATCAGTTTCGAATCCTGCTGTGACCTTTTCTTTTCATAACGATTGATTATATTGAAACATAGATAGATAAAAAAAAAGATTAACCCTAAGAATATAATTTGGGTAATATATCGAAAGCAATATCAAAAGAATATACAATTCCTGTTCATCAATAATAAATAAACTTAATAAAATTTTGTTTGTAAGAATTTTTCCATTTTGCAATGCAAAAATTCTTATGAACAAAATTCAATTTTTTTTCAAGAATTTTTTTCAGAATTCTAATATTCTTATCTTTTTTTACATTATAATATTTCTTCATTTCATTCATAGTTCAATCAATCTGTTTGTCAGGGAATATTCTCTCCCTCTCTCTCTTTTTTTTTTGCAAAAATGAAAATTCAATTTGTTTTTCATCCAACCAACAAAATAAATATTTTAAAATATTTATGATCAGAATATGATGATGATGATAAAATCCTTTTATGTCCATATGAGATTCCAAGTTTTGTTTTTTTTTATTCAAAAAACAAAAAAAAAATTCTCTACAAACAAATTATATATGATGTATGGTCGTGTGTGTGTTTTTAGATATAGCAAAAATATGCTAGGACTTATGATTATTCCATGGATGTTGATGAATGTATAAAAGTGGTGATAGTGGTGGTTATGGTGGTGGTGGTGGTGGTTGTAATGGATAAAAATGATGAAATGCAAACAAAACTACACAATTACTAAACATTTTTTCTGTTTTGTTTTATTTCATTTTTATTTTGTTCCAAAAAAAGATACGAAAAAAAAATGCTGCTTCTGCAAATCATTCATTCTCATTTCACTTTCAACTAACAAACATATTCCATTTCATGATTTGGTTGTTATAGAATTTTTTTTTTTAAATCAGCAAAATAACTTCAATGGTTTCTGCTGTTGTTGTTGTTGTTATTGCTGCTGGAACAAATGAAATAAAACGCCAAACAAACATACATACAAAGATATACAGAGAGAGACAAGTCGATTTATTTAGTCACTTTAGTCTACGATCTAGATTTGTCGGTTTAGTTTAATGTTTTTTTGCTATATTAGTTGTATGGTGGATGCTATGTAATATGAAAAATAGTCGAAAGGAAGAAGAAAGAATTTGAAGAAAAAAAATTTGCGCGCACGTCATTTATTGGTTTTCATTTTTTTTTCGTTCATTCGTTCATTCGTGTGTGTGTTTGTAATGATAAAATAGTGTTCCAACCATTCGACATTCAACATTCATTGTTGCTAACATCATTTTCAAATATTCGACGAAGAAATGATTTGATGGTGAATTTTGGAAGAACTATAGAAGAAATGAAAAAGTGATGATGCTATGATACAACAGACGATTTTTTCCTTCTACACTTTCTTCTCATTCCATCATCATCATCAATAATGGTGTTGGAACTTTGAAACTTGATGATGATGATGATGAGAGAATATTCTCGCTTTCAATACCTGTCATTCATATCCAGTCATTCTAGTCAAACTGATTTTCATCGAAATCCAAATATCAATTCGCAAATTAATCAATTTTTTTCTTCGGAATTTTCTATTATTCATCAAATTTTGCTTTTTTTGATTCTGTGTTTTGATGTGTATGTGTGCGTGCGTGTTTGGTTGATATTTACAGAATTTCATTTCTTACCGAAAGAAAAACCGAAAAAATAATTGAATTTTCTCTTCGCTCACTGATTAAAAATTAAAAACTTTTTCTCTCACGATCCACAACAACAACAACAACATAAAGGTATTTATGAGGGGGAAAAGTTTAATAATTTTATTAAATTAAATTTTTTTTCGCTTAAAAATTTAAGTTTTTTTTTAAAATTCTGGTTCAATTTTGACATGAACAAAAAATTCTTTCCTTGTCCAGACATAACAACAACAAACTATGTTCAAATTTAATAATGTAATCGAAAAGAGAGAGAGAGAGAGATGAAGAAAATAGAGAAAAAGTTTTTAAATTAACGAAATGACTGAACGAAAAATAAGAAAAAAAATTCCATAATTGAATTCCACAACCATTATTAACCATGGTTACATTTTCATTTCGAAATTATTATTATATTCACACTTTTTTTCTTCACTTCTTTGGTTTATTTGTTGATTGATTGCATTTTTTATTATCACTTTTCCCATGCAGAGAAAATTTTTCATAGCCTATTTCATATTAGGATGAAATTGATTTATGTTTTTCGATTATGGTTTCGTTTCATTCAACGCGTGTAACTCGTGTTCGACTATGGAATTTTTAATGAAATTTTTCTTTTCTTTCATCTAAATTCATTTGATTTATTACCATAGCATCCATGTTAAAGAGACAAAAAAAAAATAATGAAAATGTTAGCCAATTCAATATAATTATAATAATAATCGTTTTACATGAGAAAAATTAATAAATTAGTTTAGATTTCTGAGAAAATTTACAGGAAAAACAAACATCAAGAATAATTTTTCATCGGATCAACATTTTCCGGAAAACTTTTTTTCCATCGATGTTCCATAAACAATTATTTTATCAAGGCTTTTCTATAAAAAATTTTCCAGAATTACACAGAATTCCAAATAATTTTTCAAATCAAATAAAATTTTAATCTTAATTAATTAATAGACTAATGATATCTAAAATGGAAATGAATTTTTTCTTTTTCTTCTTCTTCGAAAAAAAATTCATCTTTCTTTATCCCATTTCAATTTACAGTGTTTGCTTGCTTGCTTGCTAAACAGTAATAAAGAATCCATTGAATAGTCATTTGTAGAAATCATGGAAAAGAATTACAAACATTTTCAAATAAAATAGATGCCTAATGTAATGAGCAAATGATGAGATTTTCTCTTTTCCATTTCTATTACTTCATATAAGCCATTAAAAATGTTCTACAGTATCGACCATTTTGAAACTCTTAGTAATTGTATTGGTGTATACCTATCCTCTGTGTTGTACATTTAATTTCATTGCAAAAAAAAAAATTTCCAACCAAAAGTTATATAATTCAATGGATTTATTTTCTACCGATTCCGAAAAAGGGAGAGGGAGAGAGAGAAATAAAAAATTCAATCATTGAAGAAAAAAAAACGGTTACGTTTCATTTCATTCCGAAATTCACTGAATGTAGAATCACGAATTAGAAAAAAAAACAACATTTCGGTAAAATCTACTTCTACTTCCACCCCTCTCTTTAGAGGAAATGTATTTAGTTGAAAAAAAATTGAATTTTATTTCTTTTTTTCTTACTTTAGGTTGATGTAGTAAGAACATCTTTTACTCATCTTATTTATTGACTCAAAATATCAATTTTCTAATTCATTTTTCTTTCCTAAACATTTAGATTCAAAATTCATCTTTTTTCAACCAGAAAAAAAAAGAAAATTGATTCCGTTTTTGGGTTATCGTTACCGTTATATCAACAACGAAACATTTGAATAATTATTATCATCATGTTTCCATCAAGTGATTTTCTTTCATCAACAATAATATTCTCTGCTATTGGTCCAAATTTTCATCATCAATATAATAATTATCATAATAATAATAATCACCGTAGGCTTTATAATAGCTGTTTATTATTATTATATAATTCTTGTCATCGTATGTCAACATCAACTTCTTCATCATCATCCGCATCATCTGCATCCGAATCATCAACAGCAACAATGATATCATCCGAATCGAATAATTTAAAATATCATCATCCAATAGCCTGTGATCATTTTGGACATTTTTTTCATAATTTATTTGGTTATCATCATCAATGTCAATCATCATCTACACATCAGCAAACAATTTCAATGAATATGATTGAAAAATTTTATCAAATTACAAATAATGTGATGATTAATAATAACTTTGTTAAATTTTTTATTAAAAAAATTTTTGGTCCATCAATTTTATTGTTTATATTAATTATTGGTTCATATTGGCCAATATTTAATGCTGAACTTGTATTTGATGATCGTCCAACAATTATACAGAATAATGATATAAAATCAGAAGAAACATCATGGTTACAATTATGGTCAAATGATTATTGGGGAATGCCATTAAAATCGGTATGGTTCAACTTTTTTGTTTTCTTTGTCAACTTTTTTCGTTCAAGAATCCAGAATTTCAAAAATTCACATTCATGTGTGTGTGTGTGTCGAATTCACTTTGGTTACATTAGTCAAAGTTTTTTTTTAAGTAATCAAACTGTAATCTAAACTTGAATTTAGTTATTTTTTTCAATTTCAATTTCAATTCATTTTATTTGTTTGCTTGCTTTTTATTTTGTTCCAATGAAGTAAAATTCTTTTTATTCAGATTGATTTTCAAAACAAAAAATACAGCATTTTATAAAAGCGAGAAAGAAAAAAAACTCAATCAGAAATCTACTATTTATATCGGTTAGTTTATTCTTTTGTTTTGGTTCAATAAGAAATTTCCGTTTTTTTTTTCATTGAAAATTGAAACAAAACAACAAAGATCGTAAGACAGAATTGAATTTAATTTAGCATAAAGTCAAAATTGTTATTTACGATTATTGTTGTCATCAAACGAAAAAAAAGGAAATAAAAATCCATTTCAATTTTGTGTGTTTGTTTGGGAAATTTTCTATTTTTAAAACAAAACAAAACAAAAAAATCTATTTCTTTCTTGGGAAATTTTCCCCTTTTTTCTTGTTATTCACCAAAAAAAAAGCTAAATAAAAATTCTTTTCGTTTGAAAATTCAGTGAAAAAAAGTGAAAAATTTTCATCTTTTTCTTTACTTATATATCTTATTCTGGTTTATTTGAATAAGTGAAAAAAACAAGAAAGAAGAAGAAAGAAAATGAATGCTAAATTGAAATTGACATTTATAGTGATTGATATTTTCATTTGAAACTTTAATGATGTTGATAACATTATCACAATCAATCTTGAATGTTTTTTGTTTTGTTTTGTTTGTTTTCAATAAAACTTTTTTTTTATTACCATTATTTGTTGTAAACAGAAAAAAAAAATTTAAAATTTTTTAAAATGAAAATTTCATTTTGAGTGGAATGGACTAAAGAATCTCTTTCCTTTTCTTTTTTTCAAATTAGATTCTATTTGAAGCAACCAAAGAAAGAAAAAGTTTAAGTTTCAATTTGAAACTAAGATTTTTTTTTAAAAAGAAAAAAATACTTTAATTTATATTTGCACATAACATTTATTTCATTATAGCATCTTCTCTAATGATAGATGTTTTACTCTCACACACAATTGCAGAATAAGGACATTGAAACTTGAAACATTACTACCAACTCCAAACAATGTGAGACAATGTTGTTTGTGTAAATAGGAACCAAAAAAAAAAAAAAAAAGATGAAGAAAAAAAAAGTTATGACAAATTATCACGAAAATAAAGTTTCATATGAAAAGGAATTTCTTTTTTTGAAACAAACCAAGTCAAAGAATTTTTTGTTGTTTGTTTGGTTTCAAGAAAAAAAAATACATGATCAAGTTGACTTTTACTTTGATGTTCCGTTATCATCATCATTATTGACATTTTGAAAAATTGATATTTTTCATCATCAATGATGACCAAATTCAAGGGAAAGTTTCTTTTCCGAGGAAAAGACGAAAAGTTTTCCTTGAAAAAAAAAGACCAGAATTTCCAACTTTATCTCTTTAATTCCATAGTATAATCAACCGGTTATTACCCTACATAAATACGAATGCAGGATTATAAGCAAAAAACAAAACAAAACAATATTACCATCTTTACTTATATTTTTTCTTGAAAACAACCAACAACAACAACAAAAAAAAATAAGCATCCTTTTTTTTGATAATTTATTTCTTTGTTTTGAAAAAAACCAAACAAACATAAAGTTCCGTTCACTTTGTTGTTGTTATTATTATTAAAATGATTTTCATTTTTGTTTATATTATTCTTAGCCGGGAAAATTTTTCTTTCAGCCATAAATAGCCAACAACAACAACAACAAAAAACAACAACAACAACAATAACGATTCTTTCTTCGTGGAATCATTATTATTATTATTATTGTTCTTGTTTTGGTTCAGACTCATTTATTACATCGTCTATATATTTACAACAAGAAAATAATGATGATGATGATGATTATGATAAAAATGATTGTTTTGTGTTCAAAGTTGTTGTTGTTGTTATTCAAAGATCAATGTTTTATCATCGTAATTTTTCTTTATCTCTCTCTCTCTCTCTCTCTATCCATATCGGATTTTTACGTAATTTGAAACTTATTTCATTTCAAACATAAGACACATTTCTTTCTTGTTTTCTCTCTCATTCAATCCAATTCAATCAGGTTCTAATGAAATTTTTTTTTTCTTCTCTGATTTTATATTTAGAAATTAAGCCATAAAAGTTATCGTCCATTAACAATATTAACATTTCGTTTAAATTATTTTATACATCAATTAAATCCATTTGGTTATCATTTGATTAATATTTTATTACATTATTTGGTTACTATTCTATTCTATCGGTAAGTTTTTTATTGATTTATTGATTGATTTTTACTGATAACAAATAAAACATTGTCATTATTTATTAATCATTATCATAAATAATCAAGGTTATGTCAATGGTTTTATCGATTAAAATTTACAAATTTTTCTGTATCCGGTGATAAAACATCATCAATCTCATCATTATCAACACCACCATCACCACCATCAACAGCAACAATGATGACAACAACAACCAAAACAACAACAACAACATCGTGGATACAATCAACACCATTCATAATGGCTGCATTGTTTGCCGTACATCCTATACACACTGATTGTGTAAGTTTTTTTGTTTTTCGTTTGTCGATCAATCAATTTCGATCATTATGAATTCGTTTATTTATCTATTTATTCATTATTTTCATTGGAAAAAAAGAAAGAAAAATTCAATGTTCATTGTTTTCATTATTAATTATATAACAAGGCAAAAAAAATTTGATGCTACGATGATGATAATTAGCTTTTTTTAGGGAAAATTTTTCGCGGTAAAAAACAATTTCATCTTTGATTTTTCTGTCGAAAAAAAGAAAAGAAATCAATTTTTTTCCTCTCTCTCTCTCTCTCTCTCTCTCTCTCTCTCTCCCTCTCCCTCCCTCCCTCTCTCTTCCCCCCCCTCT